TTACAATACATTACAAATATTGGAAATGAATTGAAGGAATGCAAATATAGAAATACAACCCCTTTTTAGTGTAGCTTTGATTCCTCCAATGAAGTTCCAAGCACCCTTTGATAAAATCTCTTTGTTGCTATGAAAATTCTTCCCAAAATAAACTAAGAACTAATTAAGTAAAGAAAATGAAAAATAGAGAGAAAATAAAGAGGGAAAAAAAAACGTGTGGGAGAGAAGAAAGAAAGAGAGTTGCTTCCAATTGTCCACCAACTTGACTTTTATAAAGATATTATGAAATATCTAGATATTTAGGATTAATTATAATATAAAATAGATATTTTGTCGCACAAAAATAAAAATCCTAAATATCTAGATATTTTGATCTTCATTACATTTAAGTCTTCCATAAATTGCAATCAAAGTCCTTCAACTTTCTGACTTTTGCATTTTAGTCCCCAGTTTCACAAATTTGTATATTTAAGTCCATTTTCTTCTCTTTTTGCTCCGTTCTTCTTTATATCGGGGTTTTGACCTACAAAAGTAAAAATTACACAATTATGTATAGAAATCTACTCAATTTTATCAACAATTAATTCCCAAAAAGTGACAATAAGGGTGTAAAAATACACTTATCAGTGCGCACTTCTTGAAGTCCCAACATGTTTCCNNTGCGACTTTCTAATAATTGAACGCAGCTCCAAATTCTACAATATCTTTTGATCATTTAATTTTTCCAATTAACATAAAAATTTTAGATGGATTATATACAGGAGGGAAAGAGGCTAACGACGGTTGGGAGACATTTGGCAAAAAGCCTGTGAAATAACATTATAAAGTTTTTATATAACTCTCCGTCGTACTAATATTTGTTGTTTTTCTTCACCATTCTCGATTAATTTCTTATATGTAAATTTTTATGAGTACAATGCTTTGTAACACGCATCCGACACTTCCCCAGATTAAGCTGCTAGATATTGGCTTCTAATCAGAGTTTGTTTTCTTCTGATACAGATCTTTTTAAAAATTTATTTTGGGAAATCTGAAAAATTCAACAATGGTTTATTTAGATTATCTCCAAAATCTAAAATATGATGGGAACTAAAAACGTCTGAGTACAAAAACTAAAAGAATTGAGAAAGAAACAGATCAATTAACCTTTGGGGGCCTCATCGTAGGCCTTGATTCACCAGATCTTCATTCTTCATTTCTCTATTCCTCCTAATTTTTTTTTTAAAATACACTTCACTTATTTCACTCTAATTCAAAGATTTTTAACAAATAAGTAAGAATAAAAAAAAAAGTACAAATGAAATTTACTTGTCTATTGTACCCACGTTTATTGTGACGATCACTGCTTGATCTGGAATCATCATGATCATCCCGTTCTCCAGACAAAATCTGCACATTTTAGAGTTTAAAAGAGAATCGTGAGAGAAAATAACCAAAAAAAGAGAAAAAAGAAGAAAACATACATCTTGCAATGAGGGTGTGGGGAAGTGGATAGGTGATTTATGTGCAAAATGGAGTAAGAAACAATGAATGAATGAAGAAAACATGTTAAACGGAGGTGACAGAGTAATGTCCATGAGAGTCGGAGAGAGAAGTAAGAGAAATGTATCTAATGGTTGCGTGTGAAATTGAACAAATCAAGTACGTGATTGCGTGTGAATTGAATAAATCATCTACTGCCTCAAATTGCATTTAATGTGGGAAAAGTCTACAAAAGAAATTGGACCGTGCATAACGGAGAGATGCACTTTGACCTAGGTTGTTTTGAGAAATGGACAAAGTTAGAAAAAAGAAAAAGAAATGACTAAAAAAATGCAACGCAAAATACTGTAGGCTGAAATGGAGGAAAATGTAGTGAAATGATAGGTTGCTTTGAGGAATGGACAAAGTCAGAAAAAGAAAAAGAAACGACTAAACAAAGCAAAACACTTAATCGACAATATATTTACTATTGTCACATTTTAAGTTTTTTAAAAAAAATTTACATCGATCCCAAATAGATATTTATATTGTGAAATATCGAATCAAATGAAAAATTGTAGGAAAATAAATTTATTGGAATGAGGTTGGAATTTTACATTTTACAATTAATGTAATTTTTTTTTTGATATTTAAAATTTATCGATCATATATTTATTATGGACGCACTTCAACATTTCTAAAAAAATTTAAAGTGCTTGAAACGAATATCTGTAAATTAAAATACTGAATCGAAAGTAAACGGTCCTTTTGGTCCTTGTTCGTTCAGTCAAAGAAAAAAAAAACCGACTTAGACGGCTTAGTCGAGCTGAGCCACCTTTTGGTCATTGCTGAACAGACCTTAAAAAAAAAACCCCCGACTTCGACGGCTTAGCCGAGCCGAGCCGAATGGCTTACGGCTTATGAACAGTAAAAGTTTAACTCACTCTTTTATATGTAGTGATTGGCAAGACAAAACCCGACCCATTCGAAACATCCAGACCCGTTTTCGCTCCCATCCTATCCGAAAAGTATCAACGCACCTCGGCCTTTTGACATTGCAGTTTCCCAGCTGACTGTCAACTCCCCAACCTTTTTTTTATTCACATGAGGATTGTACCCACCTCATCAACACTTGTACCTTATCATGTAACTTTCGCCAGTGGCACTGCAACAATAAGCAAATATTTCTCGTTCTAATCCATTTTTTGTTTTTCCAGATTATCTAGTCTGCCTCATTCACTCTCGAGCTCAATTGGAAAATGGGATTCGGGTTTCAATGGATGATATTGGCTTTAAGTGTGCAATTCTTGATTGTTGCTGGAGAATACTTCAAGCCATTCAATGTCAGCTACGATCATAGGGCACTGATCATCGACGGCAAACGCCGCATGCTCATTTCTGCAGGAATTCACTACCCACGTGCCACACCCGAAGTAATTTTTGATGACTTCAAGTCTTTATCCTCAAATTCCAATTTCCGATTTTGGGCATGCATTATTGACCTGTGGTTATGCTATAAAGTTGTTGTTGTACTGGGTTTTTGATTTATCGACATCGTTTAGTGAAATTTAGGAATCTGTTCTTTTTAACATCATCACTGGCTAGTTTTGAAGGTGGGTCTTCGAAACAGTTTCAGCTTCAAAAAAACTCATGTAAGAGGAATGCAGTTTCCAAGGAAAATCTATAATTCAAAAGAGTTGAGGAACTTATAGATATATCGTGATTTTTGATCATTGTTTTTGTTGAAAATGACAAAATTAGAAGATTTTCTAAGAGATTGACGGTTCTTCAGGTTTCTTCAATTTGGTGTCTACTTGTTCAAATTTGGTGTTGCTCTCTTACATTTAACATTCTGTCAGATGTGGCCTGATCTGATATCTAAGACCAAAGAAGGTGGGGCAGATGTCGTTGAAACATACGTATTTTGGAATGGTCATGAGCCTGTAAAGGGACAGGTATAATTTTTTCTCAGCTTATATAATGTGTTACCATACTAATGACCTCTTCACTTGGAATTTTGAATATTATTCTTTTGACCTATTGCCTACCTTTTTAGTATTACTTTGAAGGGAGATATGATATCATGAAGTTTGTGAAGCAAGTCGGTTCAAGTGGGCTCTATTTATTTCTGCGGATAGGTCCTTATGTTTGTGCAGAGTGGAATTTTGGGTTAGATTCTCTCTTCCCTTATTGATCCTGTCGTATATTTTGTCCCTGTTTGTCTACCATTAAATTAGGAAAATGAGTTTTGGAATAGTGAATTTTTGGAGAATGTCTAGTTGAAAAGTTGGAAAAAGTTTTGGGTCTATGTGCAGAATATTTTATTGCAAGAATGTGTGGTTAAAAAGAGTGGAAGAAAAAGAGAGTTTTGAAATAATGATGGACAAACAGGGGCTTTTATGTAGACTTCCATCCATATTTTATATAGTTAAGAAGGTTTACGCGATCTCATTCTGTCATGAATAGTTAAGAAGGTTTACACGATCTAATTCTATCACGATTTGACTCTACCTTCATTTTTCATAAGAGTTTTTGTTACTTGAGTTTTAGGTTGAAAATACTCTGGCGTCTTCTCTCAGTAATTTGATTTGTCTGTATGCAGTCAAACTTTATTGCATTATTTACTGTGACTTGGTTCTTACACCGTACCTCAAATTTTAATTATCAACCTTCATCTAATGAAAAAATGTTTGATACATGCAGGAGTACGGATATGTGTAAAGCATTGCATATATTAAGAGAAATTTTTATGTCAATGAGTGTCACAAACTTTTATTAATTTACATTTTTTGAGAAATTTGCCGAGAAAATTGATAGAGAATCATTCTCTATGAATTTTAACTTCATTTAGACTTAAAAAGTGTGTGCAATTTTCGAAATTGTAAGGGAAGTTCACGAATCCAAAAAGTTGGACAGTTAAGTGTAAGATAAACAATATTTCCCAATTTGACACCTTAAATTCTGAGAGTTAGTTCAGCATGGTATCAAAGTAGGGAAATGTCCTGCATCCAAGTCTTACCACCACATAGTTATGAAAATTCCATGTTTCAGGCCTTTGATGAAAAATTGAACGCATGTGCACCTGAGGGTCATTTTGAAGATCTAAGCATACATCTGTCAAAGCATTTCATAAGCATTAACCTTAAATTGAGATGCCAACTACATTTTCTTTTGAGGAACTTTATTTGAGCTATGCTTGGAAGTTAAATGTACAAGAGCCTGAGTTGACTTTGCATACTTTAGACTCCTAGGAATAAAGGTTAAGTCCGTAGCATATATTTGTGAGTCAACTTTGTTTGACTACTACTCTGTTGAGGATAGAATTTGATAATTAAACTAGCAGCCTCAAATGCAGATTTTCTCCTGAGAAATCTCATTACCTAGAAAAATTTGATAACCATTTCCAACATGGACAAAATCTGCTAACATCTTGCGTGCGGATGATGTTGCTTCTCACCACTGACCAAAATCTGAGGTGACACATGTCATGCTACTGCTTATTAGTTATTTTTTTTGAAGGATAATTTGCACCCGAGTGATGTTGCTTCTCACCACTAACCAAAATCTGAGGCGATGCTAGTTATACAATTTCTTATTTTGTTGTTTTGAAGGATAAATTATGTCTTCCTATCAATTGGAGAAGGCTACTTCTATGACTTCAATTTGAAATACTTGAAGCTTGTTTTGTTGTGTGTACGATAGTTGACAAATTCTGGCTGATTAAACTTAGATGTATTTGTTAGTTCACCTATGTCAATCCTTAATCCCCTAGTTAAAACTTTGTAGGGGCTTCCCTGTTTGGCTTCGAGATGTACCTGGTATAGAATTTCGAACGGACAATGTGATCTTCAAGGTATCATAAGACTAAGAGCATTATGTTTTCATCCTCGTGTTCTGTTGCTCTTTAATATTCTTTTGTTGATAATCATCACATTTGTCTTTATTAATGTGGTTTACTGTTGCTAGATGCTAGCTTGAGATGAGGGTTTTTCTTCCTGCTTAGGTAAGCTGTAGTCTGGAGGTGTTATATTTCTTCCTTTGGAAGTTTTAATTTGAATTTTTTGAAATAGCATAGAAGAGTGTTTAGGTTTGCTTTAGGAGCGAGTATTAGGCGAAAGAGCCATGTGCTTACTTGCAGGTCTTACGGAGCTATGGGCTTGATGTCACTTCTTGAAATTTATGAAAAAGAAATAAAAAAGAAAATATTGTGAAAGATGAACACTATCTTGAGAAAGCATATCAATAAGCCTTTCCAACCACGAGATTGATATCTTGTACCAATCCTTCTGTTAAATAACAATTGCTATTTTGGGGATACTAGTAAAGGTAATCAGTATTCCTTCTTAGTTTGGTTCATTTCGACTGAACTTGTCTCCTAATTAAGTGTTTGTGGGATTAGTTATTGCTTGGGACTTTCCAAGTTGCAAGTTAGGTCAACTTGCTGTGTTTTAACTAAACAGCGAAGTTTCTCTTTACCAGTGATTCACTGTCCTGCAATTAATTTTTCCCAGCCAAGACTATTGTTAAAGCAGGAGAGGATAAGGTTTTTGAACTTTTTAATAGGGAATAATTACTTGCGGAGCAATTAAGTGGATTCTCTTTAGGGAAACTCGACCTATGACTGGTCAAGGGTAGAAGAGAAAAGAATGATTCTTAAATAATCTTGACTTTCTCGACTTAAAAGACTAGAGTGGCTGTGGTAGCACTTTCATTAATCATAAACAACGTGTTTCATGATCTATGATTTACCAAATAATAAGAATCGAGTCTTGCATTTGCATACTACTGGAGAAAGTTTTTATGCAAGCTTTAAATTAGCCACAAATCCAATATTTCAACTAGACATGTGAAATAAACACCACAACTGTAGTTTAAGCGCTTTATTCATTCAAGTTCACTAGTCGAGATTAGACCCAGCCATATGAAACAATTAGCCTGCTTCTTTGAGAAAACTATTTAGAGAACAAGACAATTGGAAGCTGAGAGTTCCAAGTATAGTGAAGGCTGGAATAGAAGAAAGGTCTTCTGGTCCAAATCCATGTCAAAGTTTCAAAAGAGGAGCTGCCATGACCAAGGGAAGTAAATTTTCTCAGTCACACAACAATCTGAGGCTTCGTATCCTTATTGATAAAAATACATTTAGGTGCTTCATTGATAGTTGTTACGTTTTGGAATAATGATGAAAATGATGATTTTCTGATTCGTTTGCATGTTAATCCTGAGGTTGACCAATTACTATATAAGTGATCATGTATAAAGCAGTCGAGGAGTTGGCAATGCTACTACATAGATTATGATTTACTGGTTGGTGATGAGACATGGATACTTTCTTCTTTTCTTGAGTGCCATGCTTTAGGCAGGCAACAGTGGATTGTCTGATGATGGTGATGCTTCTCCTTTTCGTTATCAACTTAGATTGGTTTGTTTCATTTGTAGATCTTTTTCTGGCTACTATTCTGCCATTTAGTTGGTCCTGCTGGGTACCATCTGTTTCTAATCTGTAGTTTCATTCAATATTCTTTGACAGTCACCCATTACTCATTGCTATAGGCTCTCTTTCATTTGTTTCTTAGATTGGTTTGTGTATTGACAACTTGTTTCATTTGTAGATCTTTTTTTCTGGCTACTATTTAGTTGGTCCTGCTGGGTATCATCTGTTTCTAATCTTTAGTTTCATTCAATATTCCTTGTCAGTTGCCCATTGCTCATTGTTATAAGCTTGCTTTCATTGCTTTGCTTGTAAAACAGAACATGTATTTTGCCTTTGTGGTTGGACCTTGTATTCCCTGCAGCTATTGATGCATTTGTCTTTATTATTCTCCAGGAAGAGATGCAGCGGTTTGTCAAAAAGATAGTCGATCTGATGAAAGAGGAATCACTTTTCTCTTGGCAAGGTGGTCCAATAATTATGTTGCAGGTCATAGTAACTTTTCTTATCTTCAATGAATAACTTGAAAAATAGAAAGAGCAATGGTACTAGATGTTACCAATCACTATTTAGTTTCTTTTATTGACTAAACATATGAACATCTACTTACTATGGTCTATATCATCGCAGAGTAGAAACACAAAAGCTATGACAACTATTTTGAAAGAAGCACTTTTCAACTCTTTTTGACCTTTATCGATACTCCTATAACTTATAGAGACGCAAAGCATTTTTAGGTTTGATATGGTGCATCTTTTTCTACAAGGCCTGACACGACACAAAAAAAGTTTCTGTGCCTTCTTTTGTTTTTCATCAAATATGGTGCATATAAAAGTGTCTAGCTTTTGGAGCAACAAATATGTAACCTTTAAAGAGTTTTAATTTTTCTCAGATTGAAAATGAATATGGAAATATTGAAAGCTCTTTCGGTCCTAGGGGGAAAGACTATATGATATGGGCTGCCAAAATGGCTGTTGGACTTGATGCTGGTGTTCCATGGGTTATGTGCAAGCAAGTTGATGCTCCAGAATACATTGTAAATTCTTGATTCCTTGCCCATTTTTACATCTCACCTGCTTGTGATTTGTGCAATACATATTTTTCTTTAAATGCAAATGGATCTGACCAAATCTGATACTACTGGGTGTTGAAGAAATGGGTTGGAATCTCATGATCTAAGGTGGATCATAACATACTCCGTTCCTGTGCATATTGATTTAAGTTTCTATTTGCTTTACCAGATAGATACCTGCAATGGATACTATTGTGATGGTTTCAAGCCCAATTCTGACAAGAAACCGATATTTTGGACTGAGAACTGGGATGGATGGTATGATGTCTTCCTCTGATTTTTTGATTTTATTAGAAATAGTAATAAAACACTGGTCTTTGTGGAGCTTGATGTACGTAACTTGAAAAAATTTCCTTTTTTTCACTCGTTATAATCTTAAGAAGGAAGCCTGTTGTTATTTACCCATGCATCTGGCAAAGCTAATCCTAACCAACTGCAAAATGCTGCTAAAGTTGAATGCTAATTTTTTAGTAACTCATTATCTGGAAAAAGGGTAGGGAACATGCTGTATACTTTATCTACATTAAAATACTTATTTGTTTGTTGAATCTAATTTTCTTTTTGGAGCTCCATGATATATTGTTCGGAGTTTGGACAAAAATGTTATTAGTTTGTTTGTGGATGAGAAAGGGGATTTCCCAGCCAAAACTTGGTATCTATTTTCTCGTAAATCAACATTCTATGATTTTCTTATGACTGAGTTTAATAATTTTAAGTTGAGTTAACTTTAGAGACAATACATTTGATAACTTGGCTTTGGTAGTGGAACTTCATCCTTGTCGGGACAAGAGACTGCAAGGCTAAGAATAATTTAGTCTTGTTTCCGTATATTTAAGGTCTATAACTCTTTTGATGATAAATGTCCCCTAATGGTACATACCGAGGAGAAATAATTCAAAACCAACTATTATCAATTTTCCACGGATAGCTTAGTCTTGAGAAGCTCCTATATGTGGAACAGTGAAACTTAATGGATAGATCAGCTTCTATTTGCGGTATGTGGAATGCTAGCTTTCTGTTTAATCTGCTGGAGACAGCTTCGATCTAGTTTGAATTCCTTTTGCATTGCCAGATTCAACGCTAATTTTCATAAAGTATTTAGTTACTCTAGCAGTCCTTGTGTAGCTCTTCTGCAAGTGCACTTTTACTATGATCTTCAAGATGGAAACCTGAATGCGCAACCTGAAAGTGGAAAAGACAGGATGGCTATTTAATGAAAAAGAAATGGAATTTATGTTACTTTGAAAGGATGGGGCCACCTAATCTTTTTGTTGAAGATACAAATAAAAATTAATAAATTATTTCATTTTCTAAGAGTTAAGCCTTTAGATAAGATGGTTCAATATAGTATCAAAGTAGGCAAAGATCCTAGGTCAATAACAACTCGGCCTGCATATAAGGGGATGTGTTGAATATATAAATTATCCTTCGCCTCTCTAACATCTCAAGTTGGATGAGGTCATCCAACAGCTTCGTATTGTCCCGTGCTCTAAAAACTCTTTGCACTAGTTATGAACAAGGGTCTTTTGAGTGCTATTTTGCATTTGAGTGTACCAAGTGTTCATCCTGGCTTTTATCATTTTCCAAGAAATAAATATATAAATGAGCTTATATTAAGATCAGTTATCAGTGATAGAAATTTGAAATTTGCCTGGCTCATGGTCATGCTTACAAATAACATTAGAGCTGTAAAGGAATACACTTGGGTAGCGTCTTGATAAAATATAGCCCTTGTTTGATTTTGATTATTCGAGAATCACTTCTCTTCCATACTCATTTTCAACCACACATTTTCCATAAAACCGTAACTTATCCTTACTTCTTAACCGCGCATTCACAATTTTTTTTTCTTTTTTTCAAAGAATCACATTTGCTAAAATTACAAACTTCAAGTGCACAGACCGCGTTCAAGTAATAATTTTTTTTTGAAAGGTAATCAA